CATTACGTAGAGTTTATCTGCAAACTTTGACCTTGGAATTATTTTGCTAAAATATGTCAGAGGGGTGGTATTCCTCCAAAAAATGTGTTGCTTAAGAAATGCCCTTGAATTTTCAGATGGGCATTTTTAACCTATTCAGCTGTATATCATACTAGACATTTTCCAGCATGATATGCTATGTCTGAGTTTTAGCATGTTGGTCTGAGTTCTAGCATGTTTGCCCTCTGGGTCTTTAAGTTCTTAGTCTGGGTAGCATCTTTACTTTTTTTGAGGGTTGGTTTTTTCTTTTTTCCCCTTTCTTTCTGTCACTAGTATGTCTATTATATATACTTTCTGTCACAGTATATTATATCACTGTAATATATAGTATGTGTTTCCTGTACAGTGCTAGAGAGGAATGACACTGGGAACTCAGGAAAGTCCCATAACACCCTAAACCTGCTTTACTATGCTTTCAGACTTGTGAGGGCCTTGTTCTGTTTTACTCCTTCCTGGACATGTAAGCTGTGCATATGTTGCACAAGTTATGTGAAGCTTCCAAATACCTTTCATCTTTAGAGGACCTGATACACAAGAAATAAAAAAATCACCCTTTCATTCTGTTTTCTTATCACTCTAGAATGTTCTTTGATCTTGATTCTTCTGCTTAAGATCCTTCCTTTCCCTAGAGATATACAACCCCTTTGGTCTTTCAGAACTGGCTGAGTAATTGGCTGAGCCTCCCTTCTCAAGTCACTTTGACATCAGTCTCTTGGATTAGCAACATTTCTAGTACGACAGCAGCCTGAGAGAAAGGAAGAACTCTGACTTCTTTTCTTATCTCTAGATAATTTTGTACCATCATGATAGATAATTTTGGTTGGTTGGGTGATGAAAGCTTTGTGTTATTACTCTTTTCTCAGCACGTGGCTTTCTCCTGACCTCTTACATGTTTTGGTTCCACCTGGGGGCTCAAACAAGCCCCAGGGTGAATTTGGAGGCTGCTGACAGCCCTGTGTGCGTTAGGAACAGCTGCAGAGAGGAGCTGCACTGTAGTTGCCCAGAGTTCTGTCAACAGACTAGGTCAGAGAAGGTTAAAGTAATGGAAGGCAAAAAAAAACATTGATGAGCCCAAATGCACTTTGATCCTGGGAACTGAATTAAATAGAACCTTTTATTTTTCTATACTGCTATGCAAACCTGCATGTTGCATTTGAGAAGCCTGTTCTTATTTGTACATTCCTTAGTCTTTGTTCCTTCTTCTGTCTCTACAAAATAGTCTACTGTAGAGTCAGTCTTGATTATAAAACTACTGATAATACTCAATTGTGCCTGGTTTGTTTGTCGGGTTTGGGTTTGTTTTGGTTAGTTGGCTTTTTTGATTTGGGTGTGTGGTATCTTTCTGTTCCTATTTAACACACAGTATAAGAGATCTGCCTTCAACCTGTGAACAATTTATAGTAGATTTCAAATTGCAGTAGAATTCCCTATTTCAAGTTGTAGTAGAATTCCCTATTTCCATCCCTGTCTTCTTCTCTCCCTGTTTGAGCTGTGGTGAGTTATTCTATGAATCCTGTAATGAGACATTATCAAGGAGTAATTTTATAAACTGCTTCTCGCCGTTGCTTTATATTGGTAAGTGTGCTGCATCCATAATTTAAAACAATTGAATAAATATGGCATCTGGCTGAGTACATTATATCTAGAAGTAAGTTTTAATTAATATTTGAGACAAAGAGGGGCAGGTATTTACTGTTCCTAAATAACCTAATTTTTGTTACACTGCTCTCTGTATGTGCACTAATGGCTGGATTCCTTCATTTTGGGGAGATTCTGGAGGTCCCTTGGCCTGGACAGGGAAGGGCAATAGATGGTACCTTGCTGGCATTGTGAGCTGGGGTGAAGGGTGTGCTCGGCGCAATTGTCCTGGTGTGTACACCAAGGTGACAGGACTTTATGACTGGATCTGTTGGAATACAAACTGGTGAGCCAAGGACAAAATGCAGATCACTTCTGTGTGAAAGCTGCTTCCTGCTGTAGTCAATTTGATGATACAACATGAAAATGCCATTGACCGTTCCTTGGTGAAAGAATACATTTTTTAAATGAAGAAACTATCATTTGTGGTTAATCTATAAATAACTGTTCAGCCTCAGAGGAACTCCGGGCTCCTTATGAATTCATCTTCCTTATGGTTATTTGCAGAAACAGCACTGCCTTAGAAACAAAATAAAATGGATTATAACCTGTAACAAAAATCCAGCCATACCTCATTCATAACCCTTCTCTCCTTCCTTGTCCCTTGTTATCTATATTTATTTCCACATTTTATCTGGATAAAAATGGCCACATGCCATATATATTCAAGTCTTTAGGTATGTTACAGGATCTTAAACATAAATAATTATTTCATTGTTCTCAAAAATATAAATAGTGTATTGTGTATAAAGCTGAGATTAATTCTTTCCAGTTATGTGCAACGGCATGATTTTTACTTTCTGGGCTGTAACTTTTGGGGTCTCTACTGTGTTTTCCTAAAAATACCAGATATATAACTCAAAAATGCTAGGATGCAAGAAATTTTCATTAAGTAACTGGAAGAGTATTGTTTAGGTTCTTTAGGATGATGTCTAAATAAAAGGAAGGAATGAATGAGTTGTAATTCATTGAACAAAAAGAAACTATAATGCCTTCTTAGATTCTCTTCAGAATTTGAACTAACTGTAGGGTTTAATATTTGCAATATGTTACATGTGTAGTTCTCCAGCTCTGGCATCCATTGTGAATTTTTAGCATGCTCCTGGTAGGTTAGGATTGTTTTTTGTCCTGTCCTTGGTCCACAGAAAGCAGAGTTGCAGGCTCAGGAAATTTTTTTTTTTTTTGTGTATCTTTCTGGGCTGTGCCCACAAGGCCACACTAAATTGAAATGGATATAGAAGGAGAATGGATGTATGTGGTTGGATTCATCCTTGGGCTCAAAGAAAGTAACATAAGAAATGATAGCAACATTCCTTTAACCCTGGTAGTAGATCTGTTTTTAAATTTTATTCTCCTGATGAGCTTATAACTCCAAATCTAGCCAATTTAAGGTTTCCAAAGCTGTTTATGGGACTTCAGAATACCAGTACTTAGCTTAATAAAAGAATTATCTAGATGGCCTTAAGACCATTTAGATGGTCTTTAAGCTGTGCTCAATATTTGGAAGTGTTTAGCTTTCACCTTTAATATATATATTTAAAAGATGAAACTGGCAGTTTGAACACCTTTTACTGCTGTCCACACAGCACACTCACTCTGCAGTACATAAGTATGTGATCTTTGTTTAGTGTCAGACGGACCTTGGCAGCATGTGGGGTAAATGTTGAAAAGGGCTAGCACTGTAATCTGCATGCAGTGAGACTGCTCTTTTTAACACTGTTATTGCTTTTCCTTCCTTTCTCCTGTTGGGCATCTTGCCCCACCTTGTGTCAAACTTACAGCATAAGCTATATTCAAAGCCTGCATCTTAGGAGGGTTGTTTCTTTAGGGGCTACTCAATTATTCACATCTTCCTTTTTAATAAACATGTGCTAAAACTGCAAGGGACTATGTTTTGTTTGTTTGGATGTGCCTCTGAAACTATAAACCCCATGTGTAATCAGAACTACATTGGTGTCTTGGACTTTCCTGTTTTTGCAAAGCTGAAGGGTCAGAATTTCACATGGAAGAAATGCACAAAGTGTGGAAGTTAGATCCCCCAGATGCAAGAAAGACTTCAAGCAGTTTCTTCATAAATACATAAAATAAAATAAGAACTTTGGCCTTTGCATGGTGAGATCTGTATAATCATTAACTCTTAGTCTTAGAGGAGCAGTTTTGATTTCAGACAATCCAGTAGGAAGGTCTACTGTGAGCAGAAATTAAATAATTGAGCCCAATATCCAGCAGGAGTAGTGAGAACCAGATAAAGGCTTTTCTAGTGTCAGATGTCCCAAGTAAGATTTTGTAGATCCAGATACATGTTATGATCTTGATGACTGCTCAGTTACACCTTCAGTCCTCCAGAGCTTTAAAGATTCTCAGAACCAAAATGTGTGAGGTATGCAATTTTTATTTCTTTTTACTTGTGGAATAAACCTAAGACATGCTCACTTTCATGGAGTGCCTTTGCCTGGATGAGTGTGACATGACATCAGGAACACAAACCCTGGGTATGCTTCAGGCAGCAGAACCAAGGTGAGTTGCACAAAGAGAAAATTGGAGTGGTGGGACAAGGGGAGAACACCCTGAGCTTTTGGCAGGAAAAAGGATTGGTGCTGTGAGTGGAAAGGGCATTGGGGAGAGAGGCTGTGTTTGGTTCTCAATGCATGATACTCCCTGTGCTGGGACAAAAGAGTAAGGAAGGGTGTGAGTACCAGCTGTCTGCCCAGGCCTTTTGAGTCAGAGGGGAGAGAGATACTCTGTGGAAAGGAAGGAGAAACATTGGGATGGCGTGTGAACAGGAGAAATAAGATGAGGTAGGATCAAGGATATTTAGGAGGCTGATGTCATAATCAGCCCCTGGCTACAATAAGCTGTTATGAGAGACTCCTAGTGCACATGAGAGGGCATGTGGGAAGCTAGTGCAGACCAAATCACCACAGTTGTTTCATAAAAGCATGTCCTGTAGAGCACAGAATGAAATTGAAGCCCATCTTTCTCTTCTCTTTATCTATGTCCTCTGGGTTTTTTTACCAGAAAGCAGCTACTCAGGTTTAGGTTGGATAGTATGTTAAAGGACATAAATGGTTCTTTAACACTAGATATGATTTTAGGCAGTATAATAGCTAGAGGAAGAACAATTTATAGCACAAAGGTCGTTAGTGTTCATTTCTTTATTGACTATAAAGGGAAACTAGAATCACAAGTGTTGACAGAGTCCCACCCTAAGCAAACAACATGCTCTATGAACTTTTACTCTGTTCGCGCTGTTCAGCACCGCATCTGTTTAGCTGCATGGATAACAGTAATAACATTTTATTGTTTTGGCTGACAGCAGCAGAGAAAACACTGGTTCCTTTCAAAATCATCCCAGCATTGCTGAAGGTTTAGTCACTTGCTTGTCAAGGGCTGGTACAGGCAGGTAGGCAAACTGGAAAACCTAGTATTGCACAGCTGAGAGTCAGAGCTCTCATAGCTATGCAAATCAATACTTCCTCTGCCTTCCCTTTCTCTGCAGCTAGGGCAGCCGACTTTATTTGTTCTTCCAAGGAATTCCCCTAATTTAACAGTATTTTGTGATCTCTCCTGTGAACACTATCCCCTCTCTTCCTGTTTCCAGCCTCGTGTCTGAGCTACCACTGACCATAATAGCAGCTGAAACAAGAAAGAAATGAGCTGGCTCCATGCTCACTTCAGAGACAGAGGTTCTCGCAGAGGACCCTCTTCTGAGACCGAAGCAATGAAAAGGCAGAGTTCTGCTCAGGAGCAAGAGATTATTGAATTACGGGAACATAATGTGGAGGAAAGTGAGACTGATCGTGACAAGCCTCTAAATGCTCAAACGAGAAAGGTAGGAATTTCATTTGGTCATTTAATCCTTCCTGTGGAGGAAATAGTACACAGCAAGAGAAATGATACTTGAAGGAACATTTTGTAGAGGTTATTTAATTTCCTGTTTGAAGTAGAGGGAAAGAGGCTAAAAAAATGTTAAAGGTAATTATTTTTCCTTATCAATGAAGTGTTCTGAGAGTGGGATTTTAAGCATTAATTTAGGAAGTGAAACTGTAATTGGTTCTCCTTTTGCTTTCTCTTCTAATGTGCTATCCGTGGGACTGGGCTCAAAACCAGAAGAGAGAAAAGTTGAAATAAGTTTTAAAGCCAGGCTTTCTTTCAGTAGAAGTCAACCAGGAAACAGTGCTACCAAACAAAAATAAGACGTCCTCGAACAGAGCATGCCGGATTATCTCTGAGTAATTTTCAGTTGCTAACCATTATGAATTTGTATTAACAGAATCCTCCAAACCCTCAGCTAAGATCAGCACATGAATCCTAAGGGACGTAGCTCCTAGTCCCTATTTTAAAGCTACAGAACAGACTAATTCTGGCAGAAGAATAACATATTCACACGTGACTGCTGTAGTATGTAGTGAATTACACTACATACTGCAGGAGTATTTGTGGTGGTGGGAAGATGTTTCCTGCTTTTCTGTGGGCACGGCTGACTGCCGGGAGCTGTCTGCCTGAGGCACCGCCCGTCCCTTCCCGCTCCTGTGACTTCACTGCTGCTTTGGGGGGAGCCCCGCTGCTCACACCTCTGGGCCTCATTTATTCCGCTGACTAGGCAAAACCCCCCTCTGTTCTCTTGTGTCAGGGGTCAAGTTACTTCTCCCGTGGTCTGGAAAGCTGAATCAGCTCGCTGCAGGGCTAGACACATTCCAGGAGGTGCAAAGAGGAGCAGCAGAGGGGGGAGGAGAGCCAGGGATCAGCTAAGTCTGCTGGACTATCTCGAGAAACTTTACCCTTGGGCTTATCCTTTCCCTTTCCAAAGCTGAGTTTTCATTTGAGCTCTCTTTATGCTGATTATAGCCAGTGGCTTCCCGCCCTATACAGATTACTGGAAGTTACAATGCTCTGCTTTCTGCTCAGCTGGCAGGTTAATCAGAGCTGTCCTGCCCACCAGGGAGAGAATTTCTCGGCTGTTGTTGCTTCCCCCTGGCCTATTGGCAAAGTTCGGAAGATGTTGGACTAGTTGTGGAACTGAATGTTTTCTTGGGATCAAGCCAGTTTGCCATGTATGATTAAGAGTTGTGTTTTGTGATAGCCTAAACATGCAGTGGTGTGGTATTAACATGCCCTCTGAACAGAGGGAGATATAATTCTCTCTCTCAGGTTTTTTCCTGGAGAAGCACAGAGGGAAAACAATTTTTATCTCTGCTTGCTGCTCCTGGTGTTTTGCACATGTGGAATGTGTTGGGAAGGTTGTTTACTTGAAGGAATTTGGTAACTGGATTCTGGCAGAGATTGTTTATGTTAATTAGCTTATCGGATCCAAGCTGTGTGGACTGTCAGTCTGCAGACAGTCATGAGTTGTTAGTTAGTGGTAAGTATTCTTTAGTATTCTTTGTAGTATAGTTATAATATAATATAATATAATATAATATAATATAATTTTAATAAAGCATGTATTCAGCATTCCGAAGTTTTGGAATGCTTCAGAAAGCAGATGCAAATAATTTCTCTTTGTCAGGGGTCCTGATTTTACTATATGGTGGCTCAGTCAAAACTTGGACTTGACAGCTGCCTGTCTCAACTGATGGGGCTATGGCTGATTTCATAGTTGCACTCTAGGCAGTAGTTACTGGCTTTTAAAATTTTTTAAAATACAAAACTATATGCTAATGTTAAGTATTAAATTGAAATTCATACCTCTATAAAATATATATATGTTTCTATAAAATATTTTAAAAATCGAATAACAAAAAAAGTAAATGAGATGACAGTTGAAAGCATGCTGTCAACAAAACCATACTCAGTGTTTGCCTTTCATGCTCCAGCAGAGCAAAGTTCTGTGTGCAGAGGTGTCTACAGAGAGTGTTTTCCTTTTTCTGCCTCTGTTCCTGAAGGAATCTCTCTTGTAAGCGTTTTCTCTGTGTGTCTGTTTTCTCTCCCTGTTCCCCTGCCACCACATAGAAGCTTTTAGCCAGCTGTTCAATTCAGTTAAATTCAGTGAAAGCCTCCCTGTTATTCTGTGTTCTTAGAAAGTTCAAAAAGTAAAGGAAGGAAACCTGGATTATTGCCTCCAGCAGCAGCTGGTTTCTGCCAATCTGCATGTGTGTGTCCCAGACAACTTACAGCACGTGCTTTTCCTTACCTGGTACTGATGACAGAAAAGACATAGAGTTTATTACTACCATTATGGTGGATGGAGAGGAAGAGAGAGGAGTAATTAAAAAGACAGCATGGTCTGCTTATGAATTCAAGCCTTGCTTCAGTCCTCTGATTCTTCTGGCTGTGGAACAAAACAGATGAAGTTATCTGTTTTGCCATCCATCACCTAAGCTTACTCCTTCCCCCCCCCCCCCCCCCCCGGCTTTTTTTTTTTTTTTAATACTTATCCTGTTGAATTAACTCATTAAAAGAATAATTTCTGTTGTGGTTTTCAGTCTTATAAAAATTAAATAACAGGCAAGGTATTGTCCTTTCTCTCCCATATGAATGTACATACCTGCACAATTGCTTTGAGTGAAGTTTTCTTTTGACCTCATAGAGCAGGTGAGATTTGCATTAAACTCTCTGTTAAATACACTCAATAGCCTTCAAGTTTCCAATCTTCCGAAAAAAAAAATAAGTCAACTATAAAATTCTCAATTATTTTACAGAGGGTTTAACGCAATTGTATCTATTGAATAGCACTGCCTTTGCATTGGATGCTGGCATCCAGAAGCTATGCAGGTTGACATCATCAATGCTGCAGAGGTGAATGATTTTGGAAGTACCTCCAGAGACACTTTTTTAGTTGGGAGAGATGAAAAACATTAAAAAGAGAGCTTGTGGAATATGCAAATTTAAGTCACGTAGTTAAAAAAAACCAAATGTGGAGCCAAGAAATCACCTTTGCAGTACTTTAACTTTATGGGCCATTCAGGAGTTGGAACTTCTGCGCACAGGGGAATTATCTCTCTCAAGTGAATGTCCTTTACCTTCTCTAGGTCTGCATTTTCTCCTGCAGCAGTAGTCAAGGCTTGGAACCCCTGATGCAGGGCATTGCTTACCAATGAGGTTCTCCCATCTATGTGGGGGTTTTGTTTCTAAGTGTGACAGCCAAGACATTTTTCAATATTTTTTTCCTGCCTTATTTGATTAATCAATATGCCCTTCTCTTTTATACCTAGGAGAGAGATGGCTGGAAATCATGCAGGAATGTAGTTTTCTGGAAGTGTAAACTATGGATGGTTATATTTACAATATTTCTAGTGATCTTCCTGGTCATTCTCATCAGCCTAATTCTTTATTCTAGTAAGTATCTCGCTCTTGGCTACAGTAATACAAACATGCAATATGTACACTCTAATAGAACACAAATGCAACAATAACATCCTTTAATGTCCTTTAGTAAACTGCTGAAGGAACTGGGATACTGACTGCAGAGGGTGGTATTGTAGTTCAGTAGTTCTTGTGAATGCTTTTATCTTAGCAGGCAGCAAGCAAATGGTATCCTGATCTGGTGGCAATTCAAGTTTGTAGCTAAGTGAGGAAATATCACAACCAGAGATTTGGATATGAGGACAGAAATTGTGTTTGTAATGTTGGAACAAGTGCCATGGATGACTTAGGTCCCATGGAGTCATTGCCTGTCAGACTCCCAGAGCAGATGACTTTTGCTAATGGAGGTTGGTGGTTGACTTCCAGGTGCTGTCACTTTTTTCAGGTGACCTGCACTTTCTTTCTGTCTTTCCCAGTCAGTCCTTACCTAAGAAATCTATGAGAAAGCCAAGAGGGTTGTTTCTCAATACTTCAGCTATCTGAAACTTTTTTCTCCCCTTTCTATCTCCTTTTAATTATTAGATGTTTACACAGATGAGGATGACTACTGGGATCCTGATGAATTACTAAGCAATGGAAATTTTCACAATTTTTCAGGAACACTGGAGTTAATGTGTGGTCTCCCACACTTCTCCTCTGAGGACATTACTAAGAGGGTAAGTGTTTATGTAATTCTTGGCAAAGTTGATTCTGCTTCAGCATTTTGCCTTTTAAGTTTCTGTTTCCCTGCGTAGCAACTCAGTCATTTGCAAGTCCACAAATAAATTGTGTTGTACTTTTTAAAGTCACAATCTAGAAAAAAATTATTGTCTGCTTTTAAGCACAATAAAGTATGGACTTTTTTCCCATAAATTTGACCATTTGTAAAGACATTGTCTTCACCTTTTTCATAGAATCATTGAATAATTTAGGAGAGGCCTGGGAATGTCATCTAAGCATAATATGGGCTAAACATCCTACGTGCTGCATTCTCTTATGAGTACATGATTACAGTCTGAGTTTATAGCTGTGATTTTTGCTGAGCCAGCACAGCTCTGAGTTACAGCTGAAATATGCTCAGCATACATGGCAGTTATCATTTGGACATGGTGGGAAGGCAGTCTCAAGACAGAGACCCTCTCCCCCACAAAGTAAGAGTTAGAAGGGCCTTTTGGTACTAATTAGACCCCAAACCTAACAGCATTAGTTGCACATAGCAACATGAGCACACGCTTTTAGTTCACCTTGAGTGCCCCCATTGTGTTAAGGTGACATAGCAATCACTCAAATGTACAATTAATTTGTCTGTCAAATTTACATAACTCTCTACCTTTTCCAATGCAGATATTTGCTGCTATTTGACCTTCAGCACCTGTTTTTATGCTCCTTAAAGCACTTTGTAAGAATGATTTGCTGTGCTTTTTTTTTTCTTTGTGAGGGCAAAAAAGAGATTGAATAGAAGAAACATTTTTTTTTTCTCTCTCTCTGTCAGCTAACAGAGGTATACAGCTCATCTCCAGCTTTAGGACGTTACTTTAGGTCAGCTCAGGTGATTTCTTTCAGGTAAGCAATTTCTGTCCCCAAAGTTATCTGAAAATTACAGGCTTCTGATGAGACTTTACATGTCCTAATGTACAATATTTAAATCTCTGAAAAATAGGGTTGTTTGGGGAAAATTATGTGTATAGGCAGTGAAACCTGGTCAAAGGATCATGTGGTGTAAGTGGTAAATGCTGCTAAAATTACATAATGACAGGAACATATTGTTGCTGTGTAGTATCATCTCTGTTATCTTTGGTTCCAAATGCAGCCCTTAATAAGCATGTTTAAGGATATTTATTAAAAGAAAAATTAATTGCTGGAAACACTTAAGATTGATGTAGTTTAAATAATCTTAAATATATAAAATAGGGTTCATAGAGAGGAGAGAATCATTTTGTTCCCAAAAGATATAAAGGCAAGAGGAATATACATGTCTCCTGTCATGGTGAGATAGCAGGAAGGCAAGGGAAGACAGAGAGCTTTCCCAAGGACTTCAGAAAAAGAACTCTTACAAAAGAAATCAGAAAGATGGGACAAAATCAAGGGAAGTAGTTTTGCAAAGTCACAGTTCTTTTGAGATAGCAATGACAAAGGAATAGCCACGTTGCAGTGTGGCAAGTGGCAGTCGCAAAGGCACTTTGCTCCCTTGAGGAATATGCTCCCTTGCCCTGCTTGCCTTGGGCATGCCAGCTTTGTTCAACAGTGAACTGTAGCTCCTTAGCCTTATGGGCACTAACTATGATTTAGACCATCAAGTACAAAGCTGTAGTTCTACACATATATTGATTAGATAATAACTCTCTCTGCCTCTTTGATGCCTCTCTCTTGCTCTCTCCCTCTCTTTCTTTCCTTTTATTTTCCCCCATTCAAGTACTTTTTGAAAATGTTTTGAATTCTGTAAGTATAGAAGATAGCTGTTGAATTGTAGTCAGTTTTGGTAGCCCACAAAAAATGAAATCTCCACAGATGGTCTCCAGTTCACTGGTTTGTGTAATCCACTCCAGAGCTGAGTCAGGAGCACAGCTGCGTGGTCCCAGATACTGCTAGCACAAAAATAAACATTCCTACAGGTTTCTAGTGAAACTATGCACAGGATATTGCAACACTTCTTATAAGTAGCTTCTTGTGAAGCACCAGTACTGAAAACTGCATCCCATCAGAATACGTGTCCATTTGCCCCTCATGGTTTTGAAAACATGTCTCTGGCTGGCTTCGAGTACGTCAGAGCTGAGTCAGGAGCACAGCTGCGTGGTCCCAGATACTGCTAGCACAAAAATAAACATTCCTACAGGTTTCTAGTGAAACTATGCACAGGATATTGCAACACTTCTTATAAGTAGCTTCTTGTGAAGCACCAGTACTGAAAACTGCATCCCATCAGAATACGTGTCCATTTGCCCCTCATGGTTTTGAAAACATGTCTCTGGCTGGCTTCGAGTACGTACCCAGTTTCAAGAGCTGTTCTGAGAAGGGAGGCAGAAACTGGCATCTTTGGCAGTTTTGTTTCTTGGGGAAATGTTTTTTTAATAAAAATCCATCCCAACATTGATACGAAAAGTCAGTCTTTCAAAAAAAAGAAAAGCTGCTGTTGACACTTGAAGACATTCATCCTTGGCTTTGTTTTTCAGTAATGAAAGCTCCACCGTAATTTATCAGCTAGTGTTTTCTGTACCACCATCAACAGAGGGATTTATGGAAAACCGTATGAACCCAGATTTTATAAGGAACATTTTACGTCAGTATATTTATGATGAAGATACTCTTAATCCTGGGACATCTGAATGTGACAGGTTAAAGCTCAACCTGACTTCTCTCACATGTAAGTGCTGTACCTTAGAGAAACTGTTTCTTTACAGAGAGCAGAAGTATTTATGTGAAAGGAGGGAAATATTTCTAGAAAGATATTGAGATTCATTAGTATATATGATTTGCATAACAGTATTAAGGATATTTTAAAATAGCTTTCAATAGAAAGTCTTGATATGCTTAACTTAAAACCTGGGACTCACTGTTTGGTCCTCTGATGAGGAAGGGAATAGTGATGAGACTTGTTAGCTGTGGACTCCAACCAAACTTTTCTGATCTAATATTGCATTTTATCTGTACAGAAAAATTCTCCTTGTATATATGTGTACCATAATGGGGAGACAAACAATTAAAAATATTTCTCCTTATTGTACATTTGGTTTTGAATGCTAACAAAACAAATTTAATCCAAGGCATGAAAAAGAATCCTGATTTTTGTCTTTGTGTAGTTTTTTTTGAAAATTTATTATGTACAGAAATACCTTTAAAGGAAACAAATTTTCATTCTTCCAGGTTTTCTAGATGATGACTACCAGTGACTAGGTAGGGATTCCAATGCATTTATATTTGTCCTGATAGAAATGCCCATATAAAAGTCCCATGAGCTTTGAAGCTATACTAAATGCATGGAACTGCCTCCCCCCAGTGCCAATTTACTGAGTCACACCTGTGTGCTTTTAGAATATTCCTAGGCTAACAATTCAGCATTGCAGTGTAGGTAAGTAAGTTTGCAATTAACTCGTATTGGTTTTTCTTGGGATTCTTACCAAGGGACAAGAGATCAACAGGTCATCAGTTCCAATTTTTAGAAGAATTTTATTCCTTATATATTGACAGGATTTTTAGGAAAAGAGTGTAAAAGAGGACAGGAAAGAATATGTTGAAATAACTGTTTAAAGTTTCGTCTAAATTAAAGTATTTCTCTTTAACTTTCAGAGAAATTATGGAAAGATTCTTCATCTTCATCACTACCTAGAAGAGATGTGATTCCCTATCTACAAGTAATCCCAGGGCAGGGAACTATTCATTAGGTAGAAATGCTTCTAAAATTGTTGTCCTGTAAATACTGCCTGTGGTGCAATACTGTAAATGGAAAATGTGGTATATATATGACAGTGTTGTATTGCTATAGCACCACTACCCCCTTCTTCTATATCTCAGTAATCCGTTTCACCCTTGAGAAAATCATGTATTTGATGCATGCTCTGTTGACTTTGAAAGCTCTGCTTTCTCTTGCCTTATGATTAAATCTGAATGTTCTGCATGAGCTTTGAAAGCAGTCTTGCACATAGCTCCTTTCTTTTTCTCTTGGCTTATGCAAAATTATCTGTACAGCTTCATCTTCAATGCTCACTTCCACTCAATTTCATATATGTTATTTTTTTCTCTCCAAACTTCATATGGCACATTTATTTGTTGGTCTTTCCTTGTAAAACAGCCTGAAAACCTATATATATATATGTGTGTGTGTGTGTGTGTGTGTGTGTGTATGTATTTGTATTCTTTAATTACCTGCAATTACCTGCTAGGACTTTGCACTAGCTTCTTAAGAATGCTTTAGCTCTCATAATTTTCTTATTCTTCCTACAGCCTCCTTGGATAAGGTGCTCTTTGCTCTATTTTTCTCTTCTTCAATGTGAAATACAAAAGAAGAAAGCAACAGCATGAAGAGACATGTCTTGTTCACTAATGCAGCTGAATGTCACAGGAATATTTTAAGGGTCGAATTAGCAGTGTGCTTTTACAGTTAGTTATTGCTACTAGTGAATAGACAGATATTTGACCTGTTTTTGTAAATCTGAAGACTAGTCTATATCCTTAATTATAGTTCCTGCCTAGCACTGGGATAAAAATGAACAGATGTATTTGCCTTAATAAGGCAGTAAATAGTAGTTCTTGTTGATGAGAGACCAGAGGAGATGAATCAGTGCCAAGAAGATGCTGCTGGAGCAGAAGACATAGGCCAGAATGGCACAAAAGTTACAGGTGGTGACTGGCTATAACATAAAAATTAAGCATTACCTTTATGCAGAATGGAACATATTCACTACCATGTGAGTGAACTACATCTTGTCATTTATTTATAGTCTTATAAATGTTAGTACTGTTGGATAGAACTTTTATTTTAAAAGCATTTTGTACTGTTAGAAATGTAATGAAAAATTTTTCTTCTCTTTCTAATATCACTAGTTTATTTAGGAGTAATCTGATTATATTATTGTGCATTAAATTATTTATTTTTTACTCTCAAAGTGACTGTTTTCATTCTGTAGCAGCTCTAGTCTTTCAACTGTGTGAGTTGGAAAATAGTCATCAGAATTCTAAATGCTGTGCTCTATGAACCATGTCTGACAGAGGTATATGCTCAAACTCATAGTTGTTGTTGTTGCATGCATTTAAACTGAGCTTGGGAAACATTCTGGACCGAATTAGTAGTTTGCACGACTCTTATATTTGCAGCTCATTCTGATTCTCTCTTGCTTTGTAAAAGATAGGAACTATAATTTCTCTTGCTGTAATAATCTATGCAGCATACAGGTAGAAGAGAGATGCCTTTTGATTCTTATGCTGGGGAAGGATAAACATCGTGGTTTATATGGCTTGTCCCAAAAGCAGCAGGCTATGAAAGTACCAGCAGCAAAGAAATAAATTGCTGTTGAGATGCTGCTCAATCTTATTGCTCTCACCAAGACACCTGATCCTTTCCTTGAACACTTCCGTATCTTGATTCTAGGAACTGAGAAATAATGTAATGATTAAACTTCTTTATGGTCATACCTATATAGGCATTAAGAGTTGACAAAGGAGTCAAGCATTCATTTTTTTTCCCAGCCATCCTCTTCTATGTCGGTACTTTTACCCCAGAACCTCACAAGAAAGAAGAAGGTGGAGCTGTAGTAAGATATGATATTCAACAGAAAATGTCTGACTTTACAGACTGCATCCAGTCAGGTTTTGAACTCTCATTGAAGGAAGTGTCAAAAAAAAAGTAGTTTCTGGTTATATATCTCTCATTAGAGACACAGCAGTGTGAAAACACATTATTACATCAAGTAATAATTAAAAAATAATTTAAAAGCACATTATTACACCACAACATATTGTATGAATGATCAATATTAATTTTAATAGAAGGAATGAGGATAACACTTTAATGACTTGGACAACTGAAATATTGTTAAAAAGCAGCTTGTGTAGTGTACAATCAGCCCTTTAAAATCCTATATTAGGTGTTATTTGTGTGCCTACAGCAGCCAGTATGAGTTTTGGGCAGACTCAGCTGCCTGCCACAGCAGTGATACCTGCACATGCTGTAGTGTGTCCATTCAGTGCTCCGTGCGCTTGCCCATGGGACTATCCCCAGCATGGCAGGTGGAAATGTAATAATGTAATGTATGGCAGGTGGAAGTCACAAAGGCACTGCACCATAAAGCCAGGGCTGCAGCCAGCAATCACATACAAAGGAAGATTTAAAACTGTTTGACATTTTCTTCCATACTGTTTTGTTACAAAAATGGAGGGAGCGGAAAAACATGCTTAAGCAAGAATACAGGGACATAATCACTTTGTGAGCTCTGGTAAACGGCTGAATACCCGGCTTTAGTCCTTTGCATATGTCTAGACTGCTTGCAGAGCGGGGGCTGGGCTGTGAGGAGGTGGTACTCTAGCATTGCAGAAGGCCAAACTGGAGACTCCAGCAGGAGCGAGCTGTGGAAGCATTGTGTCACGGAAGCAGCACCTGGACTTCTACTACTGAGAGATAATTATCAGCATCAGTATCAACAGTTTTCTCCTGGGTGTAATATTTGTTTTGCATGGATTTTATTATTTTCGCGCTTTTTATTTAATTCCAACTTTAATACTTCATGCTAAGTAGTACTACATTAGAAGGGGAGGGGGGAATTTGAGAAATAAGTTCTTTTAAAATAAAAATTATGCATTGTATAATGGTACAAATCAAGCATGTCAGAGAAATTTTGGACAAGAGTAAGTGCATCTAACACAAGGTTTATGCTTTCATTTAAAACATGAAACATTCTCCAAACAGAAAGACCCTGTTATTATTGCATTTTTGAGATTTATAGCAGTAGTTCTTTAAAGCCCCTTTAAAAAAATAAGTATTCTAAAAGTCCAGAAAAATGTACAGCCTTGGTTGCTTAAAATATTGCAGCTCCTAATTTTCTACAGAGGAACATTGTCCTGTGATGGCAGTTGCTGTCAATGCCACGCTTATAGAGGAACTCACTTGCCACTGGCAACTATATACAACTACGGACAGGACAGGACATCTGGACTAGTGACATGAGCTTTTTTTTTTTTTTTTTTTTCAGCACATCAGTCTCAGCACATTGTTAGACAATGGAGACAGGACGTTAACAGCTCGCTGATCTACAGGGAATGCTGAGGAGGTGTAGCATTACAGCATTGCATAAAATTGTCTCAGCCTAGAGTTCAGCTAATCATACATAGAGCAACACTGACAAGCATTCTATCTAATCATGTAAAACACACGTAATGGTGGTTAAAACAAAGACTGGTTCATAAGAGACAAAGAACAGAGCTCTATTCATGCTAACCTTCTAAAGATATACATTAAATAACTTTGTTGCAATCCATAAGCCAGTCCTACAGAGGCCTATTGTTATTTGTCAGGTATGCTCTACTGCTTAGAAAATTTTTTTGCTGTATCTGCAATGCTAACAGAACTTCTGTCTGAAGCCTATTCTTTTTTAACCATTTCCTAAAAACCCTATAACTTTATGAATTCCAGCAATTCCCCCTCTCTGTTGATTCAGAAGCTTTCATTTTCTTGCGTTTCATAGCTCTATTGTAAAATTTGTGCTTATTATCTGCTGGAGACTTATTCGCACTGAACCTAGGCATTGCTAAACTAAAGCACAGCAACTTAATGCTGTGAAGGCCCAGTCTTTGAAAGAGATATGAATCACGTTTGACAATAGTCAAAAGTCATTGTTCGAAAAACTCTGGTCGATTTTAGGGTCTTAATTTAAAACTTTCGTTCATGTCTATACTTTCGTCTACTGCTTTCGTGAGATTTTGAACACTCTCAGTGCTTCTACTTTTTAACTTTCTTGCTTGTATGACAAAAACTTCTCAGAATGTTTTGTTCATCATTTGCTGTACACAACAAAGTATACAGGGTATCACTATCAATATCAATACTAGAACACTTAATACATAAAGACTTATTTTACAAATTTGCTTTAGCTAAGGTGCAAAGCTCTATTTTTGAAACAAATCACCTATCTAGGAACTTCTATTTTCTTTAATTTGAGCTGTCAGATCTTTCAATTTTTGTATGCTTTTGTGAATGGATTCAGAATGATTAGACAAATTTATACAACACAATCTTTCAAATTCTTCACAACTATGCTTCTGTGTCAGTAAAAGAAAATCAATGGTTGTTCTGTTTTGAAGAGTAGTATGTCTAACACTATCAACATCGGTTAACATATCACTGATTGCAGAGGATGTGGCATTAGCTTGTTTGCTCAGCTAGCATCTAACTAAAATAATGAGGGGTTACATTGTACTTTGGGGGATCACTTTTTCGCTAGGCACGAGTCATGAAAGTAAAACAAAAATTTATGGTTAAAGAACTAAGGATCTCTAATTCTTGAGGTTCAGATGCTGCTCTGAGAATTTTTTTGGACTAAACGTTCTAATTCAATGAGGGATTGTTTCTATTGTCAATTCTACTTGGCCTACCATTGGATTGGTTTTTTGACTAAAGGCAACTCTTTCACTGGCACACTAATTAGACAGGTTGAAAAAGGCTTTTCTGGTTCTGAGTTAGACAAACATATAGTATCTGAGCTGGCAGCTTTGGCTAAGGTCACTTAAACATTTGTTTTTGGTTGTTCTACAGGCAAATCTGCACGAAAAAAAACAATTAGAATCTACTAACATAGAAACATACAACTTGAATTTGCTCTATTTTTTTCATTAGTTAAGTTTTGGCAGAATCTTTTCTCTACAAAAACAATAACTTAAACTTTTGCTAAAAATTAGCTCTGTTAAACAAACATTCAACATACAATTGGCATACTCATAAATAACATTGACAGAAAATTAGAGTTCGTAGGTTCTACTCATGCACAAAGAATGTCAGGCACAAGGAGCATCAGGCGAGACTTGGGATCTTTTGATTCGGCTCACGTCTGCATACTTGCTTCTTCGGTTCTGGGCTCATCAACAGGTTCTGAGGTGCGATATGGTTTGACGTTTTTGGCAGGAACCCACTTAATTCTAGCACCTGTGGAGACAGAAGCATACTTTTTTTCCACGTTATTAATCGAAACAGACTTTCTATTCTCTTAACTACACTGGCAACATAAGCAGAATCTGTGATTAAAAGATTGAGGGAAAAGCTGAAAAGCTCGAACTACAGTCAGAATCTAGTGATGAGGTTGTCTTTGAAGAGTTGATGTCGCAGTCTTGGATCTTTGTTGTATCTTTGGAGTTTGGTCGTAGAAATGTCAAGTCTAGCTTTTTGGATTTCAGTCTCAACACTAGCACAGGTTTGCTGCATCTCTGTCTGTGTTGAAGTTGTGATGAGCAAATCATCTATGTAGTGTAGATTCTTGAATCTTGGAAATTTCTGTGAACTGAGAACAAAACTTATACAACAAGACATTAGCAGATCATATACATCATGATAATCACATCTTATGACAGGTAGAACGTTGTTTTGATTGGAATGTTTACATATGACAATGTTTTTCTGACATTACTAGGTTTACAACAGACAAAGCAATGAGGCTTTTTTGTCAAAGTCTAGTCTACTGGCTACTAGGCATTCTGCTAGTGTCTAAATTCTTGGCAGGGACATTGTACTCTTGTCTGGGAACTCTTCTAGGCCTGGGAATTTGGCTAAGTCTGGGAGCTTGGCCAAGCTCGGGAACTCTGTTAATGTCTGGTTTTTTGGCAGAGACCCCCAAACAACACGCCTCTTTGGAGCCCTGCCATGAAAGACAGGGATGGGCTCTATCAAACAACACGCCTCTTCTGAAACCCTGCTCAAAGGGGCTGGGACAGAGGCGTGTTCCCCTGATCTGGGAACAGAGTTCACATTGGCCTTTTAACCTTGAATTTGTTACATTAAAGATATTATTGCATGTTTCACAGTGTCTCACTGCTAACGAAAACTCAGCTGGAGAGCTGCTAACATCAAACCCAGAATTTAAGC